GCTTCTGTTTTCAAAGGACTTTTAGTGCTGCCATTTTCTATATGAGCACCTGCAAATGTTAACATGGGGAACACGGCTTTCTTAACCTTAATGAGGAATCCTTTGTTGGGTAGTGGTTTGAGCGTGGCACTGGACTGTAGGAGACCATGGTTTGAATCCTGGCTCTGCCATCAAAACACACTGGGTGATCTTGGACAAGTCACATTCTCTCAGCCTCAGAGGATGGCAACAGCAAACCCCCTCGGAAGAAACTTGCTAAAAAAAACCCTCCTGATAGGTTCACCTTAGGGTTGCCATAAGTCACAAACAACTTGAAGGCATGCAACAACTTGTAGGAAAGAAATAGAGGGGCACCCATAATCTAGCTGCAGACACCCCAAAACTGTGTTGGCAATTGCTACACAGACACACAGACACTCATATGTAAGATGTGGACCATGCTTCCAGCTCCTTCCATTTTATTTCCTTTGTCAAAATATTGTCAGAGCAGTCACCTGTCCACATTCAAGCTTGCAGGCAACAGTATGTTTCCTCAGGCCATTCTTGCTAGCAGTGTCTTGTTTGTGTGGGACAGCTTAATTGGTTTCGGGATTATTCCAGTTGGTGAGAGGCTTTCTCCTTCCTTCCTTCCTTCCTTCTTCTTTGGTCTGCAAGCTGACTCTTGCATATTATTTTAGAAACGTTTGGCATATGATCAGTGGGGTCATATTTCAAGCAGAGATGATGCAAAGTACAGTATTTTTGGAGATTCAAGGTAAATACCTTTCTCAGCTGTTCTGAGTTCAACATGTGGAGTCACACAGTGCAGGCTGTCTACAATGTGCTCGGCTTTCTCAACTGCTGAATGTAAAAGAAATGACTTGATCCAGCCATTCAAATGTGGGGAAAACAAGACATACCTGCCCAGGAAAAGGACTTCTTTGAATGCTTAGCCCTTAAAATATTGAGCTTTGAATATCTGTATTGAGAGCCAGCGTGGTGTAGTGCTTTGCACATTGGACAATGACTTGGGAGTCTAGGGTTCGATTCCCTGCTCAGTCACAGGAATCCACTGGGTGACCTTGGGTGAGTTGTACACTCTTTAGCTGCAGAAAACCCCACGATGGGGTTGCCTTAGGGCAGGGGTAGGCAACCTTTCCCCTTTAAGGGCCGAGGGACTTCAGTTCCCAGAATCCCAGGAGCTATTGGCCAACATGGGACTATTGGCCAACATGGCTGAGGCTTCTGGGAGCTGAAGTCCCTTGGCCCTTAAAGGGGAAAGGTTGCCTACCCCTGCCTTAGGGTCACCTTAGGGAAGGACTTGATGGCACACAACAACAATAGTCAATCATGTTTGTGGTGCCGAACTAGGGCTGCCTTTCTCCCCTGAGAAGCTCCTGATTTTAAACTTCAATATGATAGGTCAATTTCTTCCTAGTGGGAATAGCTGTACATATTGAATTGGTCAATGCACATGGATGATAATTTTGTTCAGTGCCTTTTTTATTTAAAGAAGAGCTTTCCAAAATGTATTTATGAGAAAGAAATGTTTTTTAAAAAATGAAGAAGAGAAATAAAACCTACCAATTCTGCCATGCCTAGTAGAAATCTCTACCAAAAAATTCTCAGCATCCTTATCAAATGAATGTCCGCCATGGTTCACAGGAGAATGCCATTTGCCCAATTCCCAGAGGCTTATAAGTGAAGAACTACCTTCTCTGGCTAGTATATATTAATTTAGAATCAGGGAGAGACTCTTTAGTTAATTGAACAGAGGGAAAGATAATGAATGAAGTGATGTGTTGAGCTATTTCTTTCCTAAGACAACCATAGAATATTCTTCTTGCCATGTGCCTTCTTTACAACTTATGGTTGTAAAGCAAACCTTCTCACAGGGTTTTCTTGGCATGTTTCTTCAGAGAGGGTTTGCCGTTGCTTTCCTCTGAGGCTGAGTGTGTGTGACTTGCCCAAGATCACAACCATAGATTATACTGCCACAGAAATCATAGAAATTTTTGTAATCATTATAGCACCATTTTTATATATCGTTGTTGTTTGTTGTTGTGCACCTTCAAGTACTTTCTGATTTATGGTGACCCTATCATGGGTTTTTCTTGGCAAAATTTGTTCAGTAGAGGTTTGCCCTTGCCTTCCTCTGAGTCTGAGAGAGTGTGACTTGCATAAAGTCGGCAGTGAGTTTCACAGCTGAGCTGGGGATTAAACCCTGGTCCCCAGAGTTGAAGTGGAACAGTCAAACCACTATACTACACTGATTTTAATAATATAAAGTAGAGCAAAAGAGATCTATGTTCATGACATAATAGTGAATGGAAACAAGAGTCTGACTGCATTTTCATATTTCCTACCATCACCTCATTTGCAGTGCTTGTCATTTCAATCAGTTCAGTTCACAGTTTAGTTAAGATTTCAGTTTAATCAGGGGCAAGGAAACATGGCCTCCCTGATAATGGCAGTTCCCACATCAATGGGACAGTGAATGGGACATTCTGGGTTCTAGACTGAACATTAACGGTGCTTAACCTATTTCAGAACATCACCCTCTGCCATGTCTACCAAAGGTTGCTGGACTTCAATGGCTATCCAGTCCTAGCCAGTGTAGCCCACAGACATGCATATTGGGAACTATAGACTAGCAATTTCTGGAGGGCTACAGGTTTCTCTTTTCTGAAATACACTGCAATATTATGCAGAAGCCTGCCATTCTGCTTGCCTCTTTCTCTTCCTCCTTTACAGCAATTAAAGATATAAAGAAGTTTAAGGGCACTCCTCTTCTTGCTCTCCTGCTGCCATCAATGAAGGGCAGGTGGAGCTCAGCGAGATTGATTTTGAACTAAAATAACTGCAGGCAAGGTGTTGCCTTCTCTCCTGCTAGTGAATTACAATGCCAGAAACTGGACTTGTAATTTACTTTTTTTGGTTGTTATGGAGGCCACATGATGTTGACCACATGATGACCAAGCAACCTTTTCTCAGCAGCAGCTTCCCCTGTGGTTGTATCATGGCCAGTGGCGAATGGAGGGGGTGGCAGATAAAGCATCCAGCTACTTTCCTACCGCTGGATGCACAGCAATGACAACATCCTCTGAGATCTCCAAGGACCCCTGGAAGTCACTGTGGAAATATGTCATTGTACATCCAGCTACAGAAAAATAGCTGGATGCTTGTCTCCTGCCTGGCAATTCCCCACTGTTCAGGAGACATATCATAGCTACTTCTCCTAATCTAGAATTTGGCTTTAAAGTAGCCTCTCTGTTTAGGCCCTTCCTCCATTCCAATTTAAAACCTGTTTCTGCTATTTTAGGGGTTATTCAGATGGTGAAAATAATACTGACAGAACGTGGGTTGAATCTTTGTTGTTCGCATGCATTTTGAATGCACTCAAGTTTTTTTTTGTTTTTTGTTTTGTTTTGGGTGTTTTTTTTATTATTATTATTATTATTATTATTATTATTATTATTATTATTATTATTATTATTTGCATAGTTGAGCTGCCAAAAACCCCACTTAACCTGGGGTAATCAATCTCACACACCTCCCCCCCCCAAGTTTTTCTAAAAGATTTGCTTTGTTGGCTGTGTAAATAACTGATGTGAATAGATCTGGGATAAACTGGGACAAAATTCTGCATGCCTTGAACATGTTTCAAATACATCTGCATCTTTGAGTCTATCTTTATTCGTAGCGCTGACAGGTGTGAGCAACAGAACATGCAGAGATATTTTATCAAAATTGCGATTTTGATAAAATAGTGTGAACTGCAAAACTGGAATGCGTGAGTGAGATTATTTGCATCATTGCACTACAAAATAACATCTGAATAAGCCCTTAGGTTTAAAATATCTACCCAGGGAAGAGAATCATTGAATGCTGAAGAACATGTACTTTTGCATCCAGTCCTATCAGGCATCAGTTCAGTGGTCCTTGTCCTTTCACTTAAACCACAGTTGGAAATCGGGCATCTCACCAAATATTATTGAACTACAACTGCAAACATTCCTCAGTCTTGGGCAGGCTGGCTATAGCTGTCCGAGAATTGTGGTTCAACCAAATATGAAGAGTTCCACAATTCCCACCCCCAATTTAAATATTTGCTGCAGCATCATCATCGAAGCAAAAGAATTCTTTCTAGCAGAAGAACAGCAAGAAAATGCTGTCAGCACTGAAAACTTCTATGGCTTTTTTGTTGTTGTTGTTGAGTGCTGACATTTTTGGCACATGCACACATATACACACGATTAATCTAGCATTCAAAATGGGATGGTGGTGCACATGAAAAACTGGGCTTAAAAACAAAAATAAAATAAAATAAAATAAAATAAAATAAAATAAAATATCAGACTCTCCACTTTTTAAAAAGGTGTGTGTGTGTGTATGTGCCATCTTCGTTTTAAGGATTTATACATTCTTTCTGCACAGAGCGTAATGTGAGCTTCCGGTTGTCAACACAACATCACTCCCTGTACTGCTCATATAACAAGTGCAGGTATAAACAGTAACTTCTTTCGACAACTGACTCTGAGGCATGTAAGCACAGTTCGGCTAGAGCGCCCGACAAAGAGAGAGCCCCACGTAGGCCCTGAACTAATATTCCACCCTGAAGTTCAGCACCGTCTATTTGCATGCAAGATTCCATGAACATGAGAACATTGAAGCAATGTGTGGCAGCATTGCTAGAAGCAGAAATACTTTTCTTTTTCGTAGTTGTAGAACAAACCATACTTGAAAGCAGGGAAGAGACCACTGAACTCTTACACTTGGAGTACACTAAAAGCAACCCCCAGATGGCAAACACCATCTGTATCCTTTTCCCGTCCATAAAGGCAGCCTTTGTTTTCCGCTCAAAAAAGGGGGAGAAAATCACTGGTAGCTGTCTAACTACTCAAATGGGCAGTTCATCACAGGAGTAGTAGCTCTGCCCCGCTAATTGGCTGAGATGTTACTATATTTGTTTCGGTGCTTTTTGTCCTGTGTTTGTTCAGTTTGGTTTCAGAAGAAAAGAATCCTCGACACTTCTTTGTCGTATTTATTATCATTATCATTAACTAAAACAACTTTTGATTTAGGGCTGTGTAAATGATCAAGGAGATGTCCCTATTAGAATGCTTTGAGGATCTAATCAAAAGGCACATGACTAAGAGAGGAAGATAAATGGGAAAAGGAAACAACAGAATGCATTGAGCTACTATTTTTATTTTGTATAAAAGAAAATGAAGATGGTGAGCAGTTCAGGCTGGTATGGAGACCTGTGAAATCTCATTTAGAAAATTCAGTCACCTTAGACACAACAGTCAGGTTACGTTCTGCTCCCTTCCCATTCACCAATGCTAAGTATCTTCTCCCATTTATAGGAAATAGCTTGCTGGACTGTCCAGTTATGGTGCACAGACAAGATGAATGAGGCTGGAAGATATTGTTTTCCACCCTCAAGCATCAGAAACCTTTTGATGTTGAGGAGAAACTTAAAATTCCTGATTCTTCTGGATCCCCACCAATGTTGCTCGACAACCACTTTTTCTCCTGTGTTGTTGTTGTGTGCCTTCAAGTCATTTCCAATTTAGGGTGATGCTGTCATGGGGTTTTCTTGGTAAGATTGGTTCCAAGGAACTTTGCCATTGCCTTCCTCTGAGGCTGAGGGCTGTGTGACTTTCCTAAGGTCACCCAGTAGGTTTCATGGCTGTGCTGGGAATTGAACCCTGGTCTCTAGAACTGTAGTCCAACATTCAACCTATCATTTTTCAATGGCTGCAGTGCCTGGCTACATACACTCTTCCCTCTCTGATAGGTAAAGGAAAGATATACTTTACTATTTCCTCATAATGATACAGCAGGCATGAAAGGTAATGCAGAAGAGCATGTATGAGCATGTGGGAGAAAGTACAACGCAACATTCATGGAAAGACCACTCCCCAACACTAACCTCACAGTACAGCTGGCGAACTGAATGATAGAGCCTTCCAGCAAGTCCCACCAAAGCCAGTTTCCTGTGACATCATGGAACCTTCCCCTGATACCAGCCAAATTAGAGCTGCCAGGATTTCCAA